TTTTCTTGAAGTGAGGTATCTTTAATAAACCCCTTACAGTACTTGATTAAACTAGTTATTTGATTTATATCTTTAGATATAAATGTTGTGTTAGTAATGAAGTCTATTACTAGTTTTTGGCGAAGTTTGGTATGAATTAGATCTCGAGTTTTTCTATCCGTAATTGTGAAATCATGCATTTGTTTATACTTCTCTAATGCTTGGTTGAATAGGTTTTCATATTCAATTTGATGCTGACTCATATATTTCTTCATTCGAGTAAAAGTAATGAAAAATCTAGTATCTGGTAATGAAATTTAGTATATATTGCTAATGGTATGAGATGTCTTGTTGGAAGGGAATTTAATTTATAGGTTACTAGTTCTGTAACTCCTATAGTTGTAGTAAGTGCTTCCAGGATACGATCATAATGCCAAATTGTGTTATTAAACTCATCTTTGACTTTGGCTTGAATTGCATTATCTATATCCATTAGCCAGTTATCAGTTTCTTCTTATTGTAACAAGTCAAATAATTCTGAGTTCTTGCTCGTATATCCTTTGACTATATTACTATATAATAAAAAACTAGTTTGTGTTGCAGAGGTAGTGCTATAACCTGCATTATTATCAGCCTCAAGTACCTGATCTTGTATTGCATGATCTGTTTCTGAATTAGTAGTTGTAGGATCAGTTTCTATACTTGCACGTGTTTGTTTGTTTATTTCAAAATTTCGTACGTGATCTGTTGTTGTTGTATTTTGTATTACGTGAGATGTAGTATCATCATCAGACAGGGGTAAACTGAATTGCCTACTTTTTGTTGAATTATTTTTGTTAGAGTTTGTAGAGGAAGATAATTTTTGACGTTTTGAGAGTTTAGGGTTGTGACTTGTCTCAGAAGTGGGCTCTGGACTTGGTTCTCTCCTGGTAGTCATATTTTGGAATTAACTTAAGTAGTCTTTTGGCCCTAAGGCCTTTTTTTTGGTTGGAAGTTGTTGACTTTTGTTGTTTCGGTAGCTTCTTTGTCTTTTTAAAATTTTGTAGATGCGTTAAGCTATAGATTATATAACTATAGTTTTACTACTCTGTTTACGAGAAGATAATATTTAAAGCAAATAATTATTAGTAGTAATATAGTAAAAATAATTTTGTGAATATGTTATTTTGTTTTTTATATGTCAAAAAGGATGTACGGAAAAGAGTTTTCCTTTCTTTTAATATCTATTTGCTTTAGATACTCAAATATTGCTTTCTAATGAGTTATTTCCTAGTCTAAGTTTTAGCTCTTGGTCTAATCTTTCAAATTTCTTCTAGTATCTGGCTTTTGGGCTTTATTTTTTATAAGTTTTCTGATAGATTGATATCTTCAAAGTTCATTTTGCTTGTGTTTAAATCTGGCTGCAAATCTTCTTTCTTTATTTCCATTTCTATTTCAACTATTTTTTCACTTAAAACTTCTTCATAGCTACTTTATATTTTATATTCTGTTGCTATTTCTATTTCTTTTGTTTCAATTGTATCTTCTAGAATTGATATAATAAGTTGCTCCTCTTTTTGGTTTAGAATTTGCTCTACTTTATCAATTCTATTAGAAATAGCTACTCTTTCAATTATCTTTTGCTATTTTCTTGTTGTAGTTATGATATTTTTGTCTATATATATTATATTTGCAATCATTTTATCTAGATGAGTTGTCAAGCTTTCTACTGAATTACTTCCATCAAATATTATCTCTTTGCTATATAGTTTGACTATTCTATTTATCAAATATGTAGATTTTTTGAAGTTCTACATTATATCTAATTCAGATTTATTATAATTTTGTAGTCTTTCTAATCTATCTTGTAAAAAATTCGAAAATATTATATGTTTAAAATGTTGCTCTCCAGAAGTTATCTAGTTTTGGTTTAGTATATACTTTTACATAATCTGTATTCTTGTTTAATTTTCTAAACTTCATATAGATCTTAATACGTAACTTAAAATTCTTTTTTTTTTTTGTTATTAAGACTACTTCTTTGGCTAATTAGATTTTATTAGTTTGTTATTATGAAACTATCACATAAACAGTTTCTTAAGGTTTTACAATTACATGATGAGTATATAACAAGCTACATATACAACTTTAGTCATTATCTAATTTAAGTATTCGCTATACAGACGATCAACCATCTGTTGGTTCTACACTATGCTACTATATCTACAACCTGTCTGTGAGTTATCTATTTAAACACTCTGATTATTAACCCTTCCTCTCATCCCAAATCAACATCACCACTATGACCAACTACTTAAGCCAGCTAGTTTACCCATAGATCCTTTTTCTGCATAGCTTAGATCTTTTTGAGATACGTATATCCAACATATTATGAGCTACAGAGCTCTGGTTAACCTCAGAAGTAATTCCTACCAAAGTTGTCATATGCCTATTTCACAGATTTACCTAGATTAGACTCTTGTTGATATTTGTACAAACCCAGTTCCTGCTATGGCTGTCTACTAGATATAGTCCTCCAAGTTCTAGCTAGATATTTCACAAGGTAGATCCTCCTAATCTAGTTAGCCACTAAGCCAAGTTGGTGTTGCTATTAATGCAAGGCACCAGGCTGCATTACACAGTGAACTTACTCGCACCTATTGATCTCATATCCTTTGTATTCAGGTTTTTCACTAGATCAGGTATTAACTAGCTTGACTGTTGAAATCTGTACTACTTCACCAAACTCAGAATTTCTACTATGCAGATCTTCTGCTTATAGATCCTATTAAGATTTATTTGCGTAATATAACTTGAGTATTGCGTCACACTTCCAATATCTAATTGACATTGGTGCAATGTGATTTATAGAGTTATAACCCTCAGAAACAAGCAGAGTTTACCATAAGTTAGGTACAAAGGTCTGAGTAATTATTCAAATTCATTAACAGTAGGATTTGAATCCTAGACCTCTTGCATAGCAGTCTGGCAACCTAACTACTACACTAAGATCACTAGATTTGAACTTAAAATTCTTGTATTTATTACAACAAATATATTATATAACAAATAATATAGAATTTTTAGAAGTTTAGCAAATCTCTAGAAAAAATTTTTGACAGCTAAGTTTTCTTCAGTTAAAAAACTTTCTTTTAGTTAGATAGTTTTTTAATATAATTTGGCTCTTTTTATTTCTTTAAGTCTTTGTATTTTTCTGTTAGGATTCTTTTTTCTTAATAGCTTTTAAAGCCTTTCTTAAGCAAGTTTAAGAGTTTTCTGTGTTTTTTCTTTACTTCTGATTTTAGTTCAAATAATCTGCGAAGAGAGTTCAGTAGCAAGATATATCTAATTATTCTTTATCATTTTGCATCTATAATCAATATATTTATTTATTTCTAGTCTTATTGTATTGTTACTTTCTACTACTAGTTTTTCTTTTAAAATTTTTTACTATCTTATTAGCTTTTTTTGTAGTTATTTATTCTACTAATATTCTTTAATTTCTATATTCAACTTTGTGCTTTTATTGATCCTTTCTATTTCTATTTCTATTTTTTATACTCTTCTTTTATTTTATAAAACCTTTTTCTTTTTTGCAACTTTTAACTATTTTCTTTATTATATTAATTACATTTTGTAATTCTGTATGTCTTTTTTTTAGAGCTTTGTTAATATCAGAATTTATTATCTTTTTCCTTAGAATTTCTTCTTCTGCTATTTGTTTAATACTTCTACTTATATTGTCATACTCTCTGTTTATATTTATTTCTTTACTTTTATCTCTTAAAGTATTTTGAATTAAGTTGTTATTTCATAGAACTTAGTTGACTTTTCTTTTGAGTAGCAAATATAATTTACTTTTGTAGCTATCCTAATTCTCTTTAGTTGTTTTATCATACTCAAAACTTATTTTTTTTTTACTTTTTTACTTTACTTAGAACAGACTATCTCTAATTTGCATATAGTCTAGTATTAATTTTGCTATTACTAATTTGTGATTACTATTTGTATCTAGATCTATATCTTCAATACTTGCTTCTTTTAGACTATAGCTTAATATACTTAATATCTAAATTTAATTGATTCTTATACTATATTTCCTATTACTCTAAGTAAATTCTTTTTTGTTTTTTTTTTTTTTTTTTGTTGTTAAGGCAGTTTACATTGCTGAAGGAATTTTTATTAGAGTTGTCAACAGGATTATATATTGATAATCTTACTGTTTGTAATTACATGAAGAGTATATAATAAGCCACACATATAACTTTAGTCATTATCTATTTTAAGTAGTCTGCTACACAGGCATTAGACTACCTGATTGGTTCTATACTATGCTACCATATCTGTAACCTGTCTGTGAGTTATCTATTTAAACACTCTGTTCATTAACCTATACAGATCTAATCTAATATTATCATAATATCTAACCACTTAAGCTAGCTAGCTTGTTACAAATCTATTTATTCAAAACAGCTTAGGTCCTCTTGGAATATATTATATCAAACATATTGCTAGTACTGCAGAGCCAGTTAATCTCGAAGCAAACCTACTAGAGTGGTCTGTACCTATTTTATGAATTCATCTAGCTTAGATCTTTGTAGATATTCATACAACCTCAGGTTCTACCATAGTATTTCACTGGTCAGTTGACCTAGTTCTTTTCCAATATCTAGCTGGTCCTAATTACTCTTCACCTAGAGACCTCAAAACCTTCTACTTTTATTAGACTAAGTTTTCTTCTCAGACCAAACTTTAGCTGATATAGTCTTGTTAGAAGGCTATACTACTTCACCAACTCAGAATTTCTACTATGCAGATCTTTTGCTCGTATATCCTATCAAGATTTATTTGTTAAATTCTTTTTTGTTTAAGTATTTTGTTTTAAAAGTATCTATAAAATTTTGTTTTAACATCTAACTATACAAGAATAGCTTTTTGTAGTTGTTATTTATGCTATTACTTCTATTTAGATTTGGTTATATAATATGATTAAAATCACTTATTACTATAAAATATATGTTTTGTTTTTTTTAAGTAATTTCTTTCATTATTATTCTTTATACTTTTTTTCTTTTAGCCTAGTCATTCAGTACTATATATACTATAAAAACTACTATTTCTAGTTGTTTAAAGAAAAAGTAGACTTCTATAAGGTATCTGTTATATTTTCTAATCTGATTTATATATTTTGTTCATCTATTAATTACTATTATATCTACTTCTAATCTCTTGTTTTTCTCTTCTTCTGTATTAGACTAAAAACTACTTAAACTACTTCTTTGCTTAACTATAAACTATCTTTTCTGTTTGTAATATTTATTTCTACTATTTTTATGATATCATACTTATTCCTTTCTATTCTTTTAATTGTTAACTCTATTTTGTATTTATTGCTTTTTAGACTATTAATATTATGAACTTCTAATTTTATTTTTTTTTTGTTTTAATCATTTTTAATTCTTTTTTTTTTATCTATAGTTTCTTTATTTTCTTGATTTAGATTTTGTTTAGCTTTATTTTAATACAAGTCACTCTCTTTATAGTAAAGTAATCTGTTCTATTAATAAAAAATTTACTATATCAAGAGCTTTATTAGTAAATTTACTATTTTAAGAGAATTTTATATAGACTAGCTTTGAGCTTAACTTCATTATATCAAAATTTTAATTAGTCTTTACTATATTAAGAATTTACTATAACAAAAGTAACTTGTATACAAGTTTTCTTTTTTATATAATTTGAACTTTCTTTAATTTAACTAGTGCAACAAATTAGAAGCAATTTAGAGTCTTCTGCTCCAAATAGTTAAACCTTTCTTCTAGTTTTTGTACAAGTTGTATTATATAGCTTATAGGTATATCTTTATTTAGCTAATAATCTTGTTTGTCTGTTCTTAGTTTTGTAATATATCTACTTTTTTTTGAAATAATTTTTTTTATTTTGTTCATAGGAGTTTTCTTCTTTATTACTCAAAATATCTTTATTTGTTATAGTTTTTATTACCTTTTTTATATATTTTCTTCTCTTATATTCTTTGTTTCTTTATTATTATTATCTCTATTATTATTTTCTGCTATTATATATTTTAAGTATTTACCTTCTTGTTCTTGTTTAAATTCTTTTTTTTTCTCTAAGCTTTTTTTACTTCTTCTTTGTAGTATTATCTGTTTTTCTATTTTTGCTTTACTTATTAATTCTACTTCTTGCTTTCTTATTTTTGACTATTATAATTTGCTATTATAATAATATATTAAGAATTTCAGACTATTTACCTTATTTTTTTCTTTATTAAAATATACTGTTGCATATCTTATCTTGTTGTTATTTGAATTTTTAAAAATATAAAGTATTTTAGCTTTTGTTTTTTTTAATCTATCTCTATAAAAGTATCTCATTCATATTTTCAAGCAGATTTGTTAATATTAAATATATTTGCTTCTTTTATTTTTTTTTTTGTTGTTAAAGTGGCTTATATTGCTAAAGAAATTTTATTATAGTTGTCAACAGGATTATATATTGATAATTCCTACTATTGAGTATATAACAAGCTATATATATAACTTTAGTTATTATTTATTTTAAATAGTCTGCTACACAAGCGTTAGACTACTTAATTAGTTCTACACTATACTACTATATCTGTAATCTGCTTGTGAGTTACCTATTTAAATACTCTATTTATTAATCTATATAGATCTAATCTAATATTATCACAATATCTAACTATTTAAGCCAGCTAGCTCATTATAAATCTATTTATTCAGAACAGCTTAGGTCCTTTTAGAATATATTATACTAGATATATTGCTAGTATTGCAGAGCTAGTTAACCTTGAAGCAAATCTACTAAAGTAGTCTGTACCTATTTTACAAATTCACCTAGCTTAAACTCTTGTAGATGTTCATACAATTCTAGGTTTTACTGTAGTCCTTCACTGATTAGTTAACCTAGTTCTTTTTTAGTATCTAGCTAATCCTAGTTAC